AAACAAATTTTAGTACAGTATAATTTAAAATTTTAGATATTCATTGGCGGGCCAATCTAAATAGTACGGCGGGCCAGCTTTGGCCCGCGGGCCCCACTTTGGGCACCCCTGATCTAGAAACTCCATTCCACCTCTCAAATGTTCCACCCTTTAAGGAGAAGTGTGCTTGTATTGCTCTTTTTGATATTCCACCGGCATTACACTAGAGTGCTGATGTTCAGGGAGTCCCCATGCCTGTGTTCCTGCCTGTCTCTCCCTCTTTCTCATGCTGCTATAGCCAGATCTGCCAGAGCCTACACGAATATTGCACTCGATCATTTTGCTTGCATTGCCTCTGGTTTCCTCAACTCTGGCTAATACACTATTTTTCTTACTTCCTCCCTCACCCCTTCTGGGGTGTGCTGCCTGGAGCACCATGTCATTGAAGAATTTATGCCTCTGCTGCCTGCAAGACTACAACCTCCACCTACAGCAACTACCCTCCAACCTGCCTGCCCTTGGCTCACGCGATGCCTCTCCATCCTTCCCTGCGGCTGTGCCACTATTAATCCTGCCATCGTGCATCAAGCACTCCGTGCCTGCACCGGTCGGCCGCTGCATTGAGACTGATATTTCAACCCCTGTATTAGCTTAGTCATATCATCTTGTTTTGTTTGACTCATCTGCTGGCCCCTGGAGGATGGGCTCCCCCTTTGTGTCTGGTTTCTCCCAAGGTTTCTTCCTCTTAGGGAGTTTTTCCTTGCCACCATTGCATTTGGCTTACTCACTGGGGGGTCCTTACGAGGCAGAAATGTAAAGCGCATTGAGACAATGTAATGTTGTGATAATGCGCTATATAAATAAAATTGAATTGAATTGAAAATTCCTCTTTTTCATCCCTCTTTCCAGACAGTCAAACTATTCTTGTGTTAGCATCCATGTAATTGCATGGGTGATGGTATACAATGGCTGACTAATGCTGCAAGTGCGGTCACATTCACATTTTTTTCAGGAAATGCCCATTCTAGTTTTCACATAGCACCATTTGCAACAGTGTTCCCCCAAGATACTTGACAAGTGTATGTGACAATCCATTATTACAACATTTAGACAAAATGGTGCATGAAGCAAGGAACAGGGAAAGGAAAAATGCCAGAAGACAATAGAAAAGAAGAACCAAAAACTCTGCTAACATTTTAGAAAACATACATTGATAGAATGTTACAGTAGTCTAAATTACTGTATACAAAGGCATGTATTAGTTCATCAGTGTCTTGACTAGTAAGAAAACATTGTAGTGTGGCAATGCTACATAGCTGTAGCATGAGATTTAAATGAGATGTTTATATCTAAGGTGATGCTTAGATTATGAGCTGAGCTGCTGAGGCAGAAGTTTAGCCCCTTAGAGCGCAGTGTGGAGATTATAGCAGGCATGTCCAACAAAGGAACCTTGGTCTTCTCTGCAACAAGTGACTGAAAAATTCATTTATCCAAGTCTTCACTTCACTTTAGCAATTAACCAACAGATGAGGTGTCATTAGGTGCACCTGAAATGTATATTTGGGTGCCATTGGTATAAGAGTGATAACGGTCACCATTGTTATATCATTTACAACTCTAGTTAAAGCAGTTTCAGTGCTGCTTCCTTGATGGAAGCCAGACTGGAATCTTTCAAGTGTGTCGTGTGTGTCTAAGTTCGACTGAAGCTGAGCTGAGTCTATTTGCTGCAGAACTTTAGACAGACATGGTACTATGGACACAGGTCTATAATTCAAGAGTTCCTGTGAGTCCAAGCATGATTTCTGCAGTATTTATGTACATGACAGACTTTTATATAAAGCAACTGTCACTGCTCACCTATGACATTATATTCAAAGATAGTGGAAAGTATTCTCTTTATGTCATCAAGTCAATTGTACAGCTGAAGCATTTTTCCTGATATTAAACTCTTCAACAGTTTGTTCACAAGACCTTTACTCCATTATTTCTGCCAAACGATCCAGAACATTATCTGAATGAAATTTAAGTCAGCATAACCCTGTTCTGTATCTTCCAACCCATTATCCGGAGCATGGTCACACAGGATCTGGGGCACATCACACAAGGCAGGGCTACACCCTAGACGGGATGCCAGACCACTTCATTGATTTTTGAAAACATTTTTCTTATAACATCTCCTCTTCTTTAACAAAGTACTTCTTTTAATGAAAAACACTAGTATATACACTCACCTAAAGGATTATTAGGAACACCATACTAATACGGTGTTTGATCCCCTTTTGCCTTCAGAACTGCCTTAATTCTACGTGGCATTGATTCAACAAGGTGCTGAAAGCATTCTTTAGAAATGTTGGCCCATATTGATAGG